GTAAATAGTGACATTTATCTTGCAATATTTCACACAGGATCTGAAATTTTGAGATATTTGTTCCTCTACAGTGTGTTAAAAATTCTCAAGGAAGCACTATAGGGTAAGGAACACAAACATGCATTCCTGACCCTATAGTGTTAAAACCACTATCTAGCCCCTTGCCTCCCTAAATATAGTAAAATCTTACTTGTATTCAAGTTTGAACCTGCTTCCTTTGTCTGTGAACTTCCTCTGACCTCTGACATCATCAGAAGTGGTGGCCTGATCCAATCACAGTGCTTCCCCATAGGATTGGCTGAGACTGACAAGGAGTCAGATCAGGGGCAGAGCCAGCATGATTCAAACACAGCCCTGGCCAATCAGCATCTCCTTATAGAGATGAATTGAAACAATGAATCTCTATGAGGAAAGTGCAGTGTCTGCATGCAGAGGGAAGAGACACTGAATGTTTGGAAGCATTTTAGGCAGCCATGACCCAGGAAGGATCTCTAACAGCCATCCGAGGAGTGGCCAGTGAAGTTATCACTAGACTGTAATGTAAACACTGCATTTTCTCTGAAAAGACAGTGTTTACAGCAATAAGCTTGAAGGTAATGATTCTACTCACCAGAACAAATTCAATAAGCTGTAGTTGTTCTGGTGACTATAGTGTCTTTTTAAAGTATAAATGAGGTTGAGCTATGCTTTATGGACTAGATTTTACACTGCAAAATACATGAAAATACTTGATTTGGGTATTGAAGGGACTAAGAGTTGATAATTTTCCAGTGAATGTTAAGGAGCTGTAAATGAGTGGGGATACTTTTGGCTGACTGCTTTTGATGCCTTTCTGACAGAAGACACACAGTATCTGCCATAATAAGATCGGATTTACTTAACTCTTTGTTGTGAATTAGTTAAGCAATATTCACTGTATACTGTACATAGTATGTATTGGGTTAGGATTAAAGATGGCCTTGAATGGGGTTTTCCAACAGAACATTACCTAGGACACGGGTTCTTGCGTTTAGACTGGAAGAAGATTGAGTCTAAGGCAAAGGAAAGTTTTTAGTTTTTTTTACTGTAAGAACAATAAGGATGTGGAATTCTCTGCCTGAATAAATGGTTCTATCAGAGTCCATACTGATGTTTAAACAGCAACTAGATGCAGACTTGCAAAAACAGAATATTCAAGGATCTAATTTTTCAACTGTAGGGTAAATGCTTTTTCATCCAAGGATAAATCTGACGGCCATTCTGGGGTCCAGAGGGATTTTTTCCTAGTTTGTTGCAAAATTGGAAGTGCTTCAAACAGTTTGTTTTTTTTGCCGTCTTTTGGATCAACAGCAAACAACAAATGTGAGGAAGGCTGAACTTAATTGACACCTCTCTTTTCAGCCTATGTAACTATGTACTTATTTGACCAATGTAGGACTAAAAGCTGTTATGTGTTGGCATTGATGTTTGCCTGAAGAACATGTAATACAAACAAAAGACTCATGCCTTATTCATATACAGAAAAACTTAAAATTTATCTCACTAAGTGAAGTGAATATTTCAAATAGACCACCTGCTTGGAAGCAAAACTAACTTTAATCTCATTTATTCACTTATCATACTGAGTCTTTTAAAGTGGTGCTGTCATGATTTTTATTTTCTTCACTTTTCCTTTCTTTATGCTGCTCAGCACTGTATCTATCATGAGGCAAGCACAGCATTTGCCTTGAAAAGCACTTTTCTTGGGGGCAGAAAAAACTATACCCCTAAATGCCTGCTCAGACGCAACCACAACTTTCACCAGGTCCCCCATATTGCACCTGTCATGGGGCCCAAGAGTTAGCCTGCTGGCCACCATAGAACCACCAGAGGTGGCTGTGTGCAATGGAAGCGGGCAATCATCCTGATCTTCTCCCTTGCGTGTTCTGCAGTGATGCTGGGAGCTGTAATATTGCGCCACTCCGGCCCAGGTATCACTAGACAGCGCGTGATGGATCAGAGGTAGGGAGGATGGGTGGACAAATTAAAATAATAAAAAAAATAAACAAATTTGTGTGTGTGTGTGGGAGTATAGATGTATCTGTCAGTGAGTGTGTGTGTGCACCTGGCCATCCACCTGATCTAAATGAAAAAGTGATTCATCAGGCTAGACAACCTTCTTCCATTGCACCATGGTCCAGTTCCAATGCTCACGCCCCCATTGAAGGTGATTTCGGTGGTGGACAGGGGTCATCATGGGCACTCTAACCAGTCAGTGTCTATGTGGTGCACACCCATGTACCACAAACTGCAAAGTGATGTGTGTTCTGCCACCTTTCTATCATGGCCAGCATTAAGTCTTTCAGCAATTTTAGCTACAGTAGGTCTTCCGTGTGATTGAACCAGATGGATAAGCCTATGCTCACCTCGTGCATTAATGAGCCTTGAGTGCCCATAACTCTGATGCCGGTTCACTGGTTGCCCTTCCTTGCACCACTTTTGGTAAACACTAACTACTGCATACCAGAATACCGGGTACACC